ACGACAGTATCAAGTTGCCGTGGGATTCTTACAGTATGGAAATCTGTATCAAACAACATTTAGACACAATCCACAGTAGGCTGTAACAAAACTGTTACCGTAGGCAAACCTAGTGCTGTTGGTTAAGACATACCAAATTTTGCGGAGTAAATGCTGAAGCATCGTTGACCATTGGGTAGCGGGCCTTTGGGTCCCAACTCCTGCAACCTGCGTTTTGTGGCCGGAAAACCATGAGGTGAGCTACTACCATGTCCATTTCGAGAGCTGGCGGGGATATCCTTCTGATTGGGATTTCATTCAGAAGACCTACGGCTCTATGGCTCCCAAGAATCTGGGAAGCATGGGATACATCGGATTTGTATCGATCTACTTACCGAAACCAGTTCAGGCGCAAGCATACGCGGCGGAGGGCTTGGCACTCCAATACTTCCGCAGTTGGAATGCCTCCTGGAACCAGCCTTGGAAATACTTCGGTTTGATCTCATCGGTCGACACCTCCAAGTTGTTGCCTTGCAATGCGTCGGTCATGATGGATGACGGTGCCATGAGGCAGGGAAGCCGTATACGGCGTATACGGGGGGCCGCAAAATGGGGGCCTTGGGGCTTGGCCCAAATAAACTGTTGGTGCTCCTTCAACTACGGTGGTGACCGGTGGTGTTCAGTTGTTGAAAAACTTTGAGGTGTTATGTCCATTGGGATAGGGGCTTTGCCCTGTGGCTGCAGGCGTCATGTCCGTTTCACGGGCGATTCCGATGGGGTTGTCATCAACAACGACACTTGGCTGCACTGATTGCCATGACCAAATGCTTTCAGTTTGACTAAATTGTCCTTGCCTTGACTGCCCCGCTTGGGTTCGGGACAAATCTACCTTAGGATCAATATACAGGACGATGTGACGATGGCTTTTGGTGGACTGCTCCAAGTTGTCGAGCGAACGCATCGCGATGCATTGGGTTCATTACTGGAGGTAATGGTTGGTCAGCAGAGGAAATGATGCAGAAGTACACGGTTTGGAACATGCCCGGGGCAATTGCAGTTGCAGCATCATGGGGTGACTATACCCAATTGCCCCTCTCAGGCAGGAATGCTCAAGTTCCCCAATAAAAAGGAGGGTTTTAATCAGTTTTAATCAGCAGGCATCTGGATTTTAACTCATGGCACCATGGGGATGTTGGCGAACTCATGGAATTAGCTCACCATGATTTAACCTTTCAGATCACAATAAAATACCAAGAATAGGCCAGCCTAAAATGCGGGTCCATTGCTACCGCATTTAGGGTCGCGCCAGGTGAGCACAGCTTTTATTGGTGGACGCCAGACCCGAGTTTCTTGGAGCTTGCGCCACTGCCTCTGCAATTCCCGCCTCACAATGCTAGGGAGTTTGCCCAGGGCATCCAGACATCAGCGGGCAGCTCATTTTCCGTTGACACCCTCGTAAGTCAGGACCTGGCTATCCTCGCACCCACCGTTGAGAAATTTGCGGACAAGCTGGAGCTGACCCTGAGCCAAATGGATGAGATCCTCTTAGATCAGAAGAACACTGGTGATTCTTGGGAGAATGTGACCTGCAGATGGATCTTGGCAAATCGAGCCACGTGGCAGAAATGGATTCCAGATGAAAGTGAATGTGCCCCCGGCTTTGGTCTCTTTGACCAGATACTCTCGGAGTTCACTGACACACGGGCGAACGTGACAAACAAGATCATTTGTGAGGCGGCTTGGGGATGGGAAACTGCCAAGAAGCAGATCCCGAATACCCAGTGGCCAACGCAATTCACATGGTAAGTATGAGGCCTAGGACAATGCCTTTGGAGGGTGGCCTTTTTTCAGTTTGAACTCATGAAGTCCAGAACTGGGGAAGCGTTCGGCCAGGAAGCGTCAATAAAAATCAGTTTTCGGAAAAGTTGTGTAAGAAGAAGGGTCCCCATCTTTCTTGATGGAAAGTTGAAACGCAAAAGATCAATTTTCCAAAGTGCCGCAGTGTCCAGGCTTGTCCTCCCGGAACGTTCTCGCAAATGATGTCAGACAACAACGGCGACACTTACATCTGCGTGCCATGTGACAAGGGTACAAGCCAACCCTCTGGTGCAGCACTGACCTGCACACCGTGCAAGTCAGGCGCAGCGGCACTGGTCCATATGGATCCATATGGCGCTTCAGCACAGAAATAGAATCATAAATGCTGGGTTTTATGATTTTATGGTGCGAAACAAAGTGCCGCCAAGCTTCCATGGGCGTATCTAGAGTCTGATGGTTTTGCATCAAGATTCAGAAGTGTTTGAAACAGTCACGTTGAGAGCCACCACATATACCGCATGCTACAGGACTGCTTTGTTACATCCTGAAACCCGAAGTGAGTTTTGTCCAAAAAATGGACCTAAATGGGCTGTGTGATGTGTAGGTCCCGTGTTTTTGGGCTGGGGCAGTAATCTTTGCAGGTGAGTACCAAGATGAAATTCGCAGCACCGAATGCAAGCGTTGCGCCATTGGTATGTATCAGGACACCTTGGCAGCGGTGCTGAGGCTGTCATATTGTCTTGTTCACATTTGATTTCTGGGACCCTTTGGCTACAAGATCCTACCAGATTGCGACGTAATTACAAAACAAACCCAAATCCACCTACATTCCATCTATGTACTAGTGCTCAGGAAGTTTCTTTCCGTGTAGCTTAAAAAACTGGATACAGTTACAGCACCCCCAGAAAGACAGAAGTTGGCAAAAATCCGACCCAAATAGTGGAGAATTGCGCCTTTTCTATCGTTTGCGGCTGGGAAACCAGCACAAAGTACCATTGCACCCCCATAAGAAAGCTTTTCAAAGTTTTCCATGGTCGTTGAGACATCCTCCGACTGTGGCAACTATGGCTCAAGCCATTCAATTGGCTCAAGGGCCAATCAAACGACTGGCTCAAGTACACCGAGCCCAACTTGGAGTGAAAAAGGTGCACTTGCATCTGCCTCTTGGTGGGATTCTCTGGGAAGGGACTCGGTAGTGTGAAACCCGTGGGTTATGAGCCCAACCCACATGCTGCCCTGAAGCCATGTCGAGCAGCGACTTCACTCAGCGCCGTTGGCAAGAACATCAAGGTCAGGCGGCTGCTCGTGCTGAAGAAGTCCATGGGTCCCATGGAAAAGAAGAACGTGCTGAGACGGCTGATGTGATGCTGGATCGGCTTCTGGAGGACATGAACATACCTCGAAAAGGACAAGGGGAGAAATCAAGGACAAGACCACCAGACTCGACCCGAAGATCATCGACGGCAAGGGTAGTTGGAGAAGGTGTCGGGGCACTGACTGGTGCTGGGGAAAGGGAAACCCTATAGGTGCAAGTCGCGGCGGTCCAGGCTGGAGCGGGCGAAAGAGGAGCCCAGAATCCGACGGAAGTGTCGTTACCACCTGAAGAACCTCCTGGACTTGAAGTGGTACAGGGAAGGGTGGGTTATTCTCCGGGTTCACCTGCGTGGTTTGAATTTTTCCAGGGTGCGAATGGAGCACTTGCCAGCAGTTACTCGGCTGTTTGATGGATCTCGCGAGGTGCCAAGTGTGGAGAACCGAGAAGAAGGACGGAGCAGGAAAGACCGAAGCCCAAACGGAAAGGGCGTAGGTGCTGCTGTGGTCGATTCGAGTTTCGCTCTTTTGGATCGGTCGGGTCAATTTGTGGGTGAATCTCCTGAAGGTGTCCGAGCACGCCAAATGATGCCGGCTGCACCAATGGGACCGCTTGTGGTCCAACAATCAATGGGAGCGCCTGTGGTTTATGGTGCTCAAAATGGACCGCCGCAAGGTGGTATCGGTCATTATTTTGGACCGCAAGGTTCCAATGTGGTTGGGTTGCCCCAACAATCAATGTGTGCTGGTGTGCCGCCACATGAAATGGCATCCCAGTATGTGCTTGTGGTCGCAAGCCCTGGGATGGTATCCGAGGTCATGGCCATGGAGGAAATGAACCCGTGGAGTGATGCAAAGCGAGTGGAAGCTTGTATGAGCAGTCCACTCACTAACTCATGTGAAAGAATCCACTTATCCCACAGCGCCACAGGATCTCTCAAGGGATCGAGAAGCACGGAAGAAGGAGAAGTTGGAGAGATTGAGAAGAATAATTTTTGCGTGGCCAGGTGGCTATCCAGCAAGAGTTGGATAACATGGGAGCCACGTGTGAAAGTGGTCTCAAACTTGACTGGGCCCGAGAGACTGGGGGAGGACACGCAATCGAGTGGAGGGTCTTACGAAACAGCGTCTCCGGAGCAGAAGAACACTGAGCTCAATCCTGCACAAGGACAAGGCGTTCAATTTCTAATGAAAGTTGGGGAGCAGTTGGTAGATGTACCACCTCCTCCTCCAAGGGTCGAGCAGGAACATCGACCTATGGATATTTATATGATTTATGGGTGGATGGATGGCATGCCACTGGAAGGCGTGCGTAATCCAAACCCAAGACAACCGATGAGAAATCAAGGCCTGGGGGGAACAGAAAACACAAGGTATTTCTTGTTCGGTGACCAACAAGGCCACATGTGGAACCCTCAAGCACAAGGTGGGGGAGCGCCTGCAGGACAAGGGCATCAACCGGGGGTTGGATGTGGTTTCCCGGGAGGAAACACCCAGATGGTCATCAAGGGAATCCGGGGCAAGCTCCGGTCCACCATGACGTTATCCGGAAAATCGAGGACAAGTTCCATCACAACAGCAAGCGATGCCGCCTGCTGCTGAACCTCGCGTTCTGGGAGAAGTTCAGATTGAAACGCTGTGGACCGTAGAGCAGCCGAAGCTGGACCGGGATACAACAGCTATTGGTTTTGGAGACTGGCTGACAATCGTCAGGCCGATGATCTGGGATGTTAGCTACACTTCGGCTCCCTGGTGGGAGATGATTATGACGTCGGTGGAACAGGCGTAGCAGCAATGGCTGCGCGCCGACCCACTCACGCGTCTGAGCATGGCGCCCATCGTGCCGGATGTGGCACGCGGGTGGCCCCGCACCGAAACCAGGGTGATGAATATGCTATTGCAAGCTCTGCCAGCGGACATCCGCGAGGAATTGTTCTCGAACCGAAGGATGTCAACTTACCAGCTGATGTTTAAATTATGCACGGTTTTTCAACCTGGTGGCCAAACGGAAAGAACATCGTTGCTGCAGTTGTTGGTGGATTGGAAGTCACCTTCCAATAACGCTGCTGAAATGGCCGCGTCTATCAGAAAATGGAGAAGGTGGGTAGTCCGATGTGCACATGCACCATCAAACTTCCACTAAACTGCCACTAAACTTCCAGCAAACTTCTATCAAACTTCTATCAAACTTCTACTTTATTAAGTGGAAGTTTAGTGGAATTTTCCACGAAACTACCACTAAACTTCACCTTGAAATATCAGAGAAACATGATCCCACTGTTTGCCACTATGCTTTCAACTATTCAGTCGCGCAAATGTTTCACCCACAAACGGCAAACATTTTAGGACAGAGTTTCTTAGAACAAGATGAAAAAACAATCCGCGGCGTTGCGAGATGATGGGGAGACGAAGAAGACTGGAGGTCCAATGAAGCGTCCTGCGGCCACTGGATCTCTGAACAAGACCTTGGAAGACATGAGAGGTGGCATCAAGAAGGCAAAGACTGATGATGATGAGAATCAGAAAAATGCAGAGAGTGAGCATGAGAGTGAAGAGTCAGACCACAGGGAAAAGGGAAAGGCCATCAAGTTCCGCCAAATGTAGAAAGATCTTCCTCCGCACATTCTGGACTTGCACGAAAGAGAAGCTATGTCCAAGGGCTCACCCCGCGCTTTTCGAACGAACATCATCAACCAGTTGTTCACAAAGCTGCCCACTGGTAGGTACAGCCTCAACGTAGATAAGCCAATGTTCAAAGAGGCCAAGGAGATGTTCGATATGGCTCCGAGAAGGAGAAGGGGTACCCTAGAACGGTCATGAAGGGGCTATATTTCCAGAACTCAGACCAGGCTTTCGAACATGCTTGACAAGAAGGTGAAATCTACAAGATCGAAAGAAACGGCAAAGTCTTCTATGCCTTTCAGAGCGTCGAAGCAGGAACTGTGAGTGGAAAAGAATAGTTGAAAATAAAATCAGTTTCATGTTATAAAGCAATACGTTCTCAGAAGATACGTTATGTATAGAGCTGTTTCTAGATTTGCAGAGGGTTGATGATTGCATGTTTGAGACGATGGTGTTGAGAGAAAGAGAGAGAGAGAGAGAGCAGTTAGATAGGTGGAGTTCTCCTTGGTCAACTTCAAACCCAATACTATCCTTGTTGTGTTACACCTAGGGGCACCAATACGACACTGCCCATCCACAAAGAGAAGGCTGCGACGAAGGAGCAGGCACAGATGCTGGAGACTTTGTTTTCAAAACTGTCTTGGACAACCTACCAGTTGAAGGCAAAGGGTTGTTGAGAGATGTTGAGAGTGCAAGGCTGCAAGGTTTGATAACTGTTCGTTCTTAGACATCCATTTGTTTTGGGGCACGACTTGTTTTTGAAATATTTGTTCAAAACCATTATCCACCATTATGATGATCCACGACTGATGTGGATGAAGAATGCGTTTTTGCTTGATATATCAACCTTGGCTGAATGTCTATCACCAACAAACTTGCTGATGATATTTTGGTCATCATGCAATTTTCACCTCAAAATGCGACAGCCTCAAAAGTCGAAGTTTGCTAGCAGTTTAGGTGGAAGTTTCGTTCGGTTATAGATAAAAAATAGTTCAAAAAATAACCGTACGATAAAACAAGTTTAAAGAATAGTTGAAAAATAGCCGTAAAAAAATAAGCGTACGATAAAAAAATAGTCGTCTTTTTTTTATCTTACAGATTTTAGATAAAAGACAATTTTTTATCCTTAACCTAAAGATAAAAATAGTCTAACCTAGTCTATTGGGAAAGCATTGAAGGTGGATTGGATGAGGCGGAAACCGCCACGCAAATCGTTCCAGAAGATGTTCAAGTGGTTCAAGAAGTGAACCACCTCCTGAAAAGCATTATTGCTGGACCCATGCTCAAGTCCATTGGTAAGAGAGTTGAATGTGGACAGTGTGAAGTGGAAACCGTAAAGGTCAGCCCGAAAAAGTCTGTCAATCCCGGACCCGAACGAGCCGCTCAAGCGGTTCAAGAAGTGACTCACCTCCTGAAGGGCATCGCTGGTCCCATGCTGAAGTCGGCGGGGCATGGTGGGGATCTCGAAGCTGAAGGAACAGGTCTCCTGGATGGAGGTGCTACGCACCCCCTCCGACAGGGAACTAGCGACGAGATCAAGAACGCAGCGCAGGTCACGGTTGAATTGGCTCACGGAGCCACGCAGCTCTACCAAAATCCCATGAATGGAACGGTTCTATCGGAGACACCGGTAGAACCTATAGTTCCGAGAGAGTTGGGATACGCCATCACATGGTCCCGCGCGGGATGTGTGGTGAAACACCCAAGACTGGGGAAGATCGAATGCTGGTTGCGGTCTGGATGTCCAGTGGTCCAAAAAGATCACGCTCT